ACGCTTCGCGACCCGCGGAACCTTCGCGTAACACCTGGTTACGGGGCCTTGTGTCGAGCCTATATATAGCCTCGTGTTGTACCCAGGTGATCATTCAATTCAATTTGAATCATCTTTTCTGAGCTCGATCCCAGATCCTCACAGGGGGTAACATCACGTTTAGCCAGGAAATGCTCGCAACGACCCTCGACGGAACCGATATTTTACTTGGGCGTGATTGGCTGCGACGACACAATCCGCGAATTGACTGGACGACGGGCGACTGCACCGTGCGAGTGAACGGTAACAACATCGCCTTACCTCGCTGGGGCTCGCCTGAGTCTTCGTCGGTGCGTGTCAACACGATCACGATGAAACGCGCCGTAGCGGCAGGAGCTGACGTGTACGCGGTCGACATTCGAGAAGCCGAGGCAGCAGACAAATGAGGGGATTTACAGAAACTGCTGGCCGACGTACCGAGTGATCTGGCAGCACTGTTGAAGCAGTACAGCAACATTTTCCCGGACGATTTACAGACGGGACTGCCACCTTAGCGACCGCACGACCACAAGATAGAGTTAGAACCGGGGACACACCCAATAGTACAGCGACAGTTCCGACTGACCCAGCCCGAACTGGACGAACTGAGGAAACAGCTCGATTACCTGCTCGAGAAGGAATTCATTCGCACGAGTTCGTCGCCTTTCGCAGCACCGATACTGTTCACACCGAAAAAAGACGGGGGATTTCGCATGTGCATAGATTACAGAACACTGAACAGGGTTACCATCAAATCCTGTTACCCCATCGCGCGAGCCGACGATCTGATCGACCAACTGCGCACAGCCCGGGTTTTCTCGAAAATCGACCTCCGAGGGGGTTACCACCAGATTCGCGTCAATCCGCCCAACTGCCCTAAGACCGCATTTCGCACACGCTACGGATCCTTCGAATACACCGTCATGCCCTTCGGACTGACCAACGCCCCCACCACTTTTCAAATGACCATGAACGAATCTTTCCGCCCGCTCTTAGATAAGTGCGTCATCGTATACCTGGACGACATCCTGATTTACAGCCCTGACAGAGCACAACGCTTATAGGTGTCGAGAGACTAAGTAATTAACAGTAGAAAGGTGGGGCCTAGGCTTAGTAGCCTAGGCCCTAACTTAAGTGTCGAGCGGGTTTTCACCTAGGGTGAGTGTCGAGTGAGTTGAGAGGAAAATTGGAGAATGAGTGTCTTCACTATAGTTTCGAAGTACATATAGCAAAGGAAACACATAAGGTGCACCACCAAACAAAGTTTAAATATCTACACTAACTACAGCTACAGGCAGTTACAAATATATATATTGTGACAATAGGACATCGAAGCAGTTATTAAAATACTGAATGAGAACCGCCTACTGACAAAAGCGTCTAAGTGTGAGTTTTTACAGGACCGCCTGGAGTTTTTGGGACACGTTATTTCCGCTGCAGGAGTGGAAATAGACCCGAAGAAAATTGCGACGATTCAAGCATGGCATGCGCCGACCAACTTGACCGAGCTGCTGAGTTTTTTGGGGTTCGTCAACTACGTGCGCCGGTTTGTCCCCGACATGGCGAAGCTGACTGCCACGCCGACAGACCTGCTGAGGAAGGGGGTTGAGTACACGTGGGGGGAGAAAGAGCAAGCTGCCTTCTCGGCCCTCAAAAACATTTTGTTCTCACCGCCCGTGCTTCACATCGCAGATCCACACCGTCCGTTCGAGCTCGTCACTGACGCAAGTGACATCGTTGTGGGAGCAGTACTGTTGCAAGATTTCGGGAGGGCCTCCAGCCAATCGCGTACGAGTCCCGCAAGCTGCACCCGCCCGAACGCAACTACCCGATACATGACCGCGAAATGTTGGCGATCGTGCACACGTTCAAGGTTTGGCGGTGTTACCTGACTAGCGCTGACGTGACAGTACGGACAGACCACCGATCACTACAGTACCTAGGCGCCCAGCCAAATCTCAATCCACGACAGATTCGCTGGCTGGACTACCTCGACTCCAACTTCCACTACACGGTTACGTACAAGAAAGGCGCATCCAACATCGCCGACGCACTCACCCGCCCTACTGCTCAACTCCATACCATCCTACTCGCCCAAACCAACCCACTGTTAACAGGCCTATTCACCCACGAATACAGTACCGACCCATTTTTCACGACCGGAAATTCACAGCAACTGGCAGAGGCCAGAGGAGTCTATTACGTAAAATAGGCACCAACCGCATCTGGGTACCCGCTTATTTACTGCTGAGGGAACTGTTACTGCAGGAGGCACACGACGGAGTTACCTTAGGACATTTCGGGGTAGAAAAAACGCGACAGCAACTGCAGCGGTATTACTACCGGCCGGAGCTGCTGACCGACGTGCAGCAGCACGTGGGCTCGTGCCCCACGTGTCAGGTGATGAAGATCTCGAGGAAGCGGAAGGCGGGTCAATTGCAGCCGATACCACCGCCCGAGCGCGCCTGGCAGCAGCTTACCATGGACTTCGTCATAGGGTTACCTTCGAACCCTGGGGGTAACGACGCGGTGATGGTCGTCGTTGACAGGTTGACGAAGATAGCACACTTCGCTGCGTGCTAAAAGTCGATCTCAGCCGAGGAGACCGCTCGCCTGTTCATCGCAGCAGCCGTTGTTCGTCTGCACGGGATACCAGCAGCGATTATCAGCGACTGGGATACGAAGTTCACCAGCAACTTCTGGAAGAACCTCTGGGAGCAGTTCGAGACCAGGCTACAGTTCAGTTTGTCGTACCACCCCGAGACCGACGGTCAAACGGAGCGGACGAATCATACGATGGAGCAGTTGATTCGTCCCATGTGCGACGACCCGACCACTTGGGAGCAGCAGCTGCCGCTGATCGAGTTCGCATACAACAACGCCACGTCAGCGACGACGCAACAGTCCCCATTCTATCTGAACTACGGGCAAAGTCCTACAGTGCCCATGACGCCGAGTCCGGACAACCCAACACCACGTGCACAGCAATTCGCTGAAATTTTGCAAGCTGCCCGCACCCGAGCCGCACAAGCAATTAAAAAAGAAAACGTCATCGCTAAGCGCAACGCTGACCGCCACCGCCGCACAGTCACGTACCAGTCAGGAGATTACGTACTGCTCGACACGCAAAACTTAAGACTGCACGTCGTACCGAAATTACGACCCCGCTACTGTGGACCATTCCAAATCAGCCACATGATTACCCCAGTAACAGCTCACCTACTTTTGCCGACAGACTGGTACATCAGCCCTTCGTTCCACGTCAGCTTGCTTCGCCCATACATCCCAACCACAAGCCAATTGCCTCGCCACCGCCCGCCATCCATGACTCGCCCTGCATCGGAACCGATCATCGAGCCCGAAAAAATCCTGAGCCATCGGATTTGACACCCCACAGGAATCAGGAGGATCGAATTCCTTGTCCGCTGGAAGGACCGCACGCCAACTGAAGATAGCTGGGTGCCCCTGGCCAACATTGAAAACCACCCTGCCCTGCAAGTGTACCTGAGGAGCCGGGGATTCCGCGATATACACGCACTCGCGTAGCGGAGGGGGCTTCTTGAGGGGGGGGGGGGGGGGGTAGTGTAAGGAATTTTCTCGGCATTCCTTACGGAGCCCGACTACATCGCGTACAACAACAGCCGTTGTTCGCCCGTTACTGCTAACGGGGCTTCGCCGACTTCGCGCGCACTGTTCACCAAACCTCGCACTGCTGGCCTGGCCGTGTCGGCCTACGCTCCGGGACTAGCCCGAGCCTCGTTTCCAGCGCAGCACTAGCTAGCTCGCACGCACCGCGTTACCGTTTGCATGTTTAGCGTATAAACGTTCGCTCATGCCTTCGCTCACATTTTGTACACGTTTGACACCTTAGTGCAATTCTAGCTACTTCGATTCATTGCACCCGTAACATCAGTTCAAAAGGCCCAAGTTCAGCCGTAGAGGGAAAATCCAACATCCACGCGCCGAGTCCACCCCACCCAACTCCCAGGCCGAGCAACTTCTTGCCAGCCTGGCACCTATTTCCCTCCTGCCCCGAAGTTGTCGTGGCGGTCCTGCCGTCGTGAGGAGAACTGCCATCATGAGGGGGACTGGAGCCTGGGATGTTGCGGAGGGGGCCGGAGAAGGCTGGTGGTGGTGGTGAGGTGAGGTGAGGTGAGGAGGGGGAGGAGACTGCAAAATTTCACGTCAAATTCTAGGCGGTGTTTTCCTCCAGGGCCCACCCACCCAGCCATGCCTAGTTTCCCGAATCCCAAACCACACCAGCCAGCGCCTGGCCTGTTTCGTTTCGAACGCACCCAAACCCACCAGATCCCAACCAAAACTGCTGTAGCTCGCTCAACTCCGTGGTAGGACCGGAAATTCCGCTGACATGAAAACTATCACGATCTGCCCTGCCACCCATCCATGAGCAGCAAGGACCAGTTGTGTTGGAATTCCATCAGCCATTTGGGGGGTTGATTCCACTAGTATCTCATAGAAGATGGGACGATAGAACATACTGGATGCAGTTCGACAATCCCTAGGACGCTTGCGCCCTCCGTTCACTCAGGTAGATTCCACCAGCTTTCGCTGTTTCACTCTCGCAAACCACGACTTCTGATCCGTTAGGTCAAGCATCTCTTCGTCACCATGGTTGCCAGACGGACAAAGAATTCGCGGTTTGCGTTTCTCTAGCGGTGTCTCGGCGAGCGATCAAGTGAGTGCGCTACTGCTTACTGTTGAGTTGAATATACTGCGTGTTACAGAGGAGTATTAAAGCGGCACGCACATCTCGTCGTTTGTCGCTTTACTTCGCCGTCCCCGCTTATCAACCACCACCTATCGTTTCCCCACTTTTCCGACTCCTCCGAATCTTCGCTCATCCGCAACACTTGCATATTCCACCCTGTTGCTTCGGGATTCAAGACCAAACGAAACGTCTCTGCGTCCCTCTCATCTGTAAATAGCTGTTCTCCGCGTGAAGGAACCCTGCTCGATTGGTTATGGCGGACGTTTCGTCTGCGTCACCACCGCTATCGACCGCGTTGGCCGGATCCCAAACTTCAACCACCGCCACTACCACCAGTGCTGTGACCAGCGTTACCGTTAGTCCCGACGCCGACGTCGCAGGGTCGTCTGCTAGTCGCAACGGCGATGCTGCGTCGCAGCCGCCCAGCGTCGCACGGGAAGGCGTCGCATCTGCGAAGGGTTCCTGCGACGACGGCGAGTCGGCACCTGCACCGTCGGATCTAGTAGACGGCACCCCTGCACACGCGCCGGCCGGCGCGCACGGAGGAGCGGAGGGGCATGCACAACGGGGGCAGGCGGAAACGGAAGGAAGCGGGGGCAAAGGAGCGGTAAGCGCAGTCGCTGTGGCGAGCGCAGAAACGTCTGATAAAGCATCGGCGGATGGCGGAACAGAAACAGTGCCGGCGGCGGTGGCGGTAAAGGGGACTGCGGAGGGCGTAGCGGCGGGAGGGGGGGTGAGAGAAGGTGGGGGAATGGAGGAAAGAGAGGATAAAACAGAGCAGGAGCAGGAGGTGAAGGATGAGGATGATGAGGAGGAGGAGGCAAAGGAGGAGCAGAAGGAGGAGGATGTAGTGGCGAAATTCAGTTCCGCTGCTGCGTTCGTAGAGGCGGGGTTGCAGGACGCTGCGGACGACTCGTGCAGCATATGCCTTGACGACTTCACGTCCGACGAACCGTCCACCGTGAGTGCTGCTCGCGCACAGTTATTGCGCGCCGTTAGCGCGCACCGTTAGGGATGGATTCTCGGTAGGGTAAACGTGTACGGTGTAGTTACCGTGGTGTGAATGAATGTAACCAGCTCGGAGTTTTTCACGCGCTTCTGAGTCCTGACTACCCAAGGAAAGCGCCGGACGTGAGTGCGTTTGGCACGATTCACACGGATTGGAGGGACCGAACGATCCTGCGAACTGGTTGAAACGAATGAGGGAATTCCGTCGGCGCGAGGGTCGATTGAGAGGTTGGGAGGCCGAACCTGTTGCAGTGTGGATTCGTACGGATTGGTATGGATTGGTACGGTCTGGTGCAACAGCAGCACGACGGCTTGAGGTTGAGAGAGTGTGTTCCGCTAACTTGGTCTAGCATGTTGGCACCCCGAGGTTCCTATATGTGAGCTACTGTGTGTGAGGTACTGTGTGCGAGGTACTGTGTGTGAGGTACTCTCTACGCCTTCAAACTAAGACGAGAGGAATCGAACATACGTTGGCAGAATTCACGAGACAGGTGGGGTAGTGTTTGTTGACATTGGCGATTTGATTGCGTCCGGCGCCCTGGTCGTCATTCTTGTTTGTGGGGGAAGGTTTTGAAGCAGTGGCTTGATGGAGTAGGGGGATGTGTGGGGGCGAGGGGGAGAGCGCGTGGAGTGGGGGGAGTGGGGGCAGTGGGGGGATGAGTGAAATGGATTCAAAGATATTTCGGCTGAACAAGGGAGTGCGATTGTGATTGGAATGATATTGATTTCATCCCCCCTACTCCCTTATCCCCCTTTCCCTCGCGCCCCCTTCGCCCCACCTCCCTTCGTGTCTCTTCCCCTTCCTCTGTTGCTCTCCCCTCACTTCCTCTCCCTCTCCCCTCCTCCTCTCCCGCTCCTTTCTCTATTTCCCTCCCTCCCTTCCTCCCTCCCTCCCTCCCTCTATCACTCGTCTTCTCGCTCCTCTCTATCGTTGCTCCCTGCATGTGCAGCCGACAACGTGCAACCACCACTACCACCTGCAGTGCATCCTCGAATGGTATGGCGTGCCTCCACTTCAATTCAGTAGGAGGAGGGACGGAAGGCACACGGGGGGCGTCCCAGGGGACACTTACACTGGGAAGATGAGGAGAGGCCGTAGGATGTGGGGGGAAGGGGGAAGGGGGAAGGGGGAAGGGGGAAGGGGGAAGGGGCGAAAGGGTGAAAGGAGCCCTTCTAGGGTGTGGGAAAAGGAGGAGAAGGTGGGGGCAGGAGCGGGAGGGTGTTGGGGTTTTAAAGGGGAAGTGAGTGCGGGGTAGGTGCAGCAAGCCGGGTTTTAGGTATGAAAGGCGAGTTTTGTGCGAGCAAGGCCTTGTTGAGGCTCCTCAGAAGTTGTCTCACACTGTGTGTGTATGTGCGTGCGTGCGTGCTTGTGTGTGTGCGTGCGTGCGTGCGTGTGTGTGTGCGTGCATGCGTGCGTGCATGTGTTTATGTCTGTGTCCACGTGTCCATTCTATCCAGGGCACAGCGCAGCAAGGACTGTCCCATGTGTTGGCGCACTCTAGTGCTCAAGGACCCTGACAGGTGCGGTGCGCGTGCACGTATACACGTGTGTGTGTGTGTGTGTGTGACTAAGCGAGTGCAGTCGCATGCACGTGTGTCCATGCATGTAAGTGAGCAGAGCATGTTGCGCTCTCATACAAGGGCGCTCGTTGCACTCCTCCCCGCACCCTGACACTGCCTTCATCTGCTTTCGACTTGAGGGGATGGGAGCATTCCTGAAGCGAGCTGCACAAAGCACACTCTTTCCATAAGCACTCTCCTCACTGGCCCTTTTCACCTTCGTTCTGCTCCTGTCAGCCTGATGTTAACCCAGTGGATTCTTTTCTGCTTTCTGTCCACGTCTGATTTCTGTCCACGTTTCCAGGCCTTTTCTGGGCCTTCCACCCACGCTTCTGCTCCCTTTCCCCTTTCTTCTGCCTCCTTTCTGGATCACACACACAAGCTCTACTCCCTCTTTCCACCCTCCTCCGCTCACAGTCAGGAGCTGCTAGAAGCGTGTGCAGCAGAGAGGGCGATGAGAGCACAGCAGGCAGCAGCAGCGGCAGCAGCGTCGTCACGCATGCACATGGGCAGGGCTGCTCTCGAGGAGTTTGCAGCGCTGCAGCAACGGGTCGGTGCTTCCTTCTGCTTTTGCTGCTGCTGCTGCTGCTGCCGTCACTCCTTGCTGCTTTTTGCCTGCCGTTCTTGCTCCTGTTCCTTCCATGTTCCTCATCCCCCCTGTTTTTTCGCTCCACTTGCCCTTTAGAACAAGAAACGTCACAATGCCCTCCTTTACCCCTCCCATCCACCACTCCCTCCCTCCCTTCCCCCTCCCCTCCTCCTTCCATTCCTTTGTACGCCCTGATTCCCTCGCTACCCTTGGCATGTCCTCCTATTTGATTTGCATACCTCAGCTTACCCAGCTGACTTTGGAGGCGCCTCGAGTGGTTCTCTCAACCCACCATGGCATCCCCTCCCATTTGATCTCTGCACCCCTCAGCTGGCAGAGCTCTCAGAAGATTCAGAGCTGGAGAGGCGAATCCTACAGCATCTGGCGGCCGCTGCAGCAGCAGCAGCGTGGTTTGAGACGTCCCAAAACTGGTTCCCAACCTACCATGCCATGTCCTCCCATCTCATCCCATCTCCTTCCCTCAGCTGGCAGAGCTCTCAGAGGACTCAGAGCTGGAGAGGCGAATTCTACAGCACCTGGCGGCCGCAGCAGCAGCAGCGGGGTTCTCCTCTCGTTCCGCCCACCAGTACCTGCACCAGCACAACCACCGCCACCACCACGGGTCAGAGCGCCAGCAGCAGCAGCGCCTGCGCCAGCACCTTCGCCAGCAGCAGCAGCTGCAGCAGCAAGGGGAGGACGAGGAGGCTGGAGGAAGCCCTGGCGAAATGGCTCTTCGCCCAACCAGGTCGGCTGGCTCGGGCGGCCGGATTAGGTTCGGCGGCAGCAGCGGTGGTGCTGGCGGGATTTACTTCGGGGAGAGCCGGCAGGAGGAGGGCGGAGGGAGCCTGACACCTCCGAACGCGTTTCTATCGGCTTTTACACGCTCGTCCAATGCGCTTTCTCTCCAGGACATGGATGGTAGAGCAGCGGATCAGAGAGCAGGAGACAGGGGGGAACGAGGCGGAGGGGGAGGAGGAGGAGTGGTGGTGACTGGGTTTGGTAGGGGAGGGCCTGGAGCAGTGGGAGGTGTCAATTCCTCCACCACTTCGTCCTCCTCCTCAAATCGCTTCTCTGCCACGCTCTCCTCTGCTCTCCCTCGCTCGCAAACCGCCCATCCAGGCACTGCCCCCCGCACCGTCTCCCCTCCCAGCCTCGCAGCAAGTCTAGCGCGCAGAGCAGCAGGGCAGGGGTCTGGGAGAGAAGGCAGAGAGAGCAGAGAGGGCGGAGGGCAGAGTGCGAGGGAGGGGTCCGGATGGCCGCCGTCCTTCTCCCTCTCGGGACAAGGCGCAGGGGCTGGCGGGGGGGGCAGTGCACGGGGAGGCGGGGGAGGGGGAGGGGGAGGGGGACGGGACGGTGGCTATTCGTCTGGGGGATCATCGTCAGCAGCAGCAGCGTCGTCCTCTTCAGGGTCAGGGTCGTTCCTGTCGGGCCCTGCTTCCAGTGCCATGTCCGCTTTCGCTAGCCTTGCGGCGGTGCTAGGTGGTGGTGGTGGGGGAGGAGGGGGAGGAGGAGCTGGAGGGGGAGGAGGGGGCGGTGGAGGGGATGGGTCTAGTGGTGGGGGAGGGGGAGGGGGAGGGGGAGGTGGTGTGGGTTCATGGTTCTTTGGCTCGTTTTCCCAGTTGGGGAATCGGTCGCAAGGTGGAGGGGGTGGAGGGAGTGGGGGAGGTGGGTTTGGAGGAGGAGGGACAGGCGGATTCGGGGGTGGCCGATCAACGAGTCAAGGCACGAGCACTCAAGGGTGAGGAGGATGCACCTATGAAAAAACTTAAACTGCACTGCACAGCTCTGTACTGAATCACAGACTTGCTTACTCTCCCTCGGTTTTTTTTTTTTTTTTTGGCCTGTTTTATGTCGAGAGGCATTGGTGCTGCTGCCACCAAGGGTAGTCGTTGGCACTTCCAGTATCTAAAATTGGTACTTAATGTCTGTAAATCACCTATAGGCTACCTTTCAATGTGTTGGGTGTGTGACCACATTCATCCTGCATACACACATGCATATGCGCTATCAGTGGATGCTTGTGTGTGCGTGCCTATGCATCTTTCACAATCCTAGGGGCACACAGCAATGTGCTGCTTCTGCATGTGACCGTGACCGTGCATGCTCATGCACACACAGGCATGTCCATGAGTCAACCAATAATCAACAACCCACTCTGATCCTCTGATGCCTAATCCCATGTTGCCTGCGGTTGCTCCTCTTTCTCTCTCTGCCTCACAGCACGACCCGTTCAACCCATTCGCCTCCATATACCTCTGCTCAACGGTCCAGCCGACCTTCTCCCCGCACACTGTATGCTGCTCCTGCACGCCTCTCTCATCCTCCTGTCTATCTGTTGTATGCTTGCTGTCCTTGTAGTTTGACATACTGTTGTCAAGTCTTTCCCTCCGCCAGCCATTTAGGGCGCTATTCCCAAGCACTGGAGTGTTTTGGTGGTTAATCGCAGTGTACCCTTTGTTTTGCACGATGGCGTGGTCTCGTGTGCGGTAACTCTCTCACTAACCACTATCAGTGCAACGCCAATCATTCTGCACACTCTCTCCCTTTCTCCCATCCCCTCCGTCTCCATCTCTCGCCCTCTCTCTGCACTCCTCCCTCCAATGTTCCACCATCAATGCTGTTGTTTCTTGCAGGGCCAGCACGCCCTCGTCCCCACCACCACCGCAGTCCATGACCATGTCAGAACCCGACTCGCCCGCTTGCCTGCCCTCCGCTGCTGCTGCTGCTACTGCAACCTCTCCTGCTCCTCCTGCGGCTGCCACCCCCTCCGTCAACTCCCCTGCCAGTCCTCCTCCTTTTCTCACCTCCCACCGTGTGACTTCGCCGCCGACTCGGCCTGCTGCCTCTTCCCCCTCTACTGCTACTCCTCCCGGCAGAAATGGCTCTGCTTCCCCACAGGGCTCATTTCTCCATCTCTCCTCCCCCGCTGCTGCTGTTGCTGTTGCTGATGCTTCTTCGCCTGATGCTCCTGCTGCTGCTGCTGCTGCAGGGATGGGCAACACCGGCATGTAGACACATGAGTGTGATACGGTACGGGGATACAAAATACTGTTTTCCTCATGACTCACTCTCCCCCTCCCTCGCCCGCTGTCTTATCCTCTGGCCCTCTCTTTCACCCTCTTGCTTCACATGCACACGATTCTAGCATCGCTACTTGCGATTATAATCGAAGTACACATTCTCTTTTGAGCACTTCTGCATTGTCATGTGCTTTGCTCTGTCTCACGTTCACTCACACACATACTTACTCTCGCACTTCATACCTATGCAGGCATGCAGGTGCCAATGCCTCTCGTGCTCTCGATTTCTGCCGTGTTTCTGGCAGGAAAACTCAGTGACCACAGTCGAGCCAGTGATGGAATTGTTACTACAGGGCGCCTTGTTTCGTCAGTCAAGCGCTATTATGTGCCCATTTATTGAGCGGCTGTTACAAAACATTTATAACGACGGCTGGTAGTTTCTGGACCTGTGCACTGACTTACCATGTTTTGTGCACGTCTGGCTATGGCCACCACGCAGCACTTCTGTTATTTTTGTATAACCAGTCATGGATTACACCACCTATTATGTTTGGCTATGGTCACCACACTAGTCGTTTGTTCTCGTTGTATATCAGTCTTGGATTACACATTTTGAAGGCACTTCGGGTTTGTGATCGGTCGATTGCATTTGGATACTACCTGTAAGGAAATCCCCTTTTCCTTACTTCGCGTCCCTGCTCAACGCGTACATCACTGTAGCACCTCAGTCAACACCGTTACCACTCACGACCATCGCATCATTCATCATCCCGCCCTTTTCGCACATCGCATCCCGACCTCACGGCTCGGCTGGTAACCCGCGCTCCGGGCCTACGCTTCGACACTTTCCCAACCTCAGTCCCAGGCTCGTCGCGCGACCACTACCGTTACCACTATAGTTTCGCTATATAATGTTCGCTCATGCCTTCGCTCAATTGTATTCTTGCTTCGATAGTGCAATTCTCGTTCGTTCACTCAATTGCACTCGTAACACTTGGTATTCAGAGCCTACGATCTCATCTCGGACCGCATCCACACCTTCGCTTCCCACTATCTCAATTTTTGGGGGGGGTAGACGTCTCTCAGCGACACAGCACCGCCGCTCGTAGTGCTCTCTCGAAAGCACGCACGGCCACGACCGAGGCTCTCGCTGAGCTTGCCCGACACCCCCGCCATGGCCGATTTCAATCTCGCCACGTTGACGCAGGAGCAACTCGATCGTCTCGTGCGTCAATTGGAGGATTCGGCGCTCGAAATCGCGACTCTCACGGCGGAACGTGACTCCGCCCGTCAACAGTCAACGGTGAACGTACCGACGACATCACATGCACCAACCAATGCATCTGCACATTCGGAGGAGCCCATCGTCATCTCATCCGGCACACCAACGCAACACAACAGCACGGGACAGCGCTCAGGCGCAGCCAGTGACGGCGCAGCCCAACCGATGCCCGACATGGGAGGGAACAGGAGCGCATTAAGCCCACGGGAGCCCCGAGAAGCCCGTCGGCACGTGGAGTTTGGGCGACAAGTGGCGAGAACGCCATGATGGCCCCAATGCCATTCAAGCCGCAACGCCCGCCCTGCTTCGACCCAAGCCAACGCGGCGGCCCGACAGTTCAATCGTGGGTCTTCACGATGAATGTGTTTTTCGACGCCAACTACGTCGAGTCGGACGCCGCCAAGATCCGGTATGCGGTTTCACTACTCAGGGGCCCCGCCATGGACTGGTGGCGAGTCATTGTGACGTCGCCGCGTGCCTACGAGCCACCGTCGCACGAGGAAGGGCCCTTGGGTCCAGCTGTTACCTGGAGTTCGTTCTGCGAAACCGCCCAATACAGCACGTGGGATGCGTGGTGCGCAGGACTTCGGGCGCGCTTTGAGCCGATCGCGGCCTCGATTTCGGCGCGTCACAAACTGCGCTCTTGGCGCCAGCTCGGGTCAGTTCAAGACTACACCAGCGGGTTTCTCGCACTTTGCAAACAGGTCGGCTACATGCACGAGGCAGAGCGGGTGGACCGTTACGTCGGAGGGGTGAAGCCGGACATCTCGCACGAGATAATGCTACGCGGGCTCTCGAATTTCAACGAGATCCTCGCGCTCGCCGAGAAAATCGATATCCTACGCCGACCGAGACCGGGGTCCTATTACGGACATCGTCATCGGGGACCGACCAAGCACGCCACTGTACATGCCGTCGCAGCGAATGCAGCTGCCGCACCGTTTAGAGGGCGCTGCTTTGCTTGCAACCGGCCGGGCCATCGCAAGAGCGAATGTCCAGAGGAGCTGAGGCGTCGAGGAGCAGAGCAGGGGAGGGAGTCTCGGAGGCAGGGAAACGCCAGCAGTCAGTAGAAATCGGGCCAACTACTGACGAGACTGCCTGCTCGCCCAACCACACCGACCCTCACCGAGTCACAGTACCGATTCACGCCATCGATCGGGCTCGGATGAATAAGGAGGGTACAGCGACGGATTGCCCGGTACTGATCTACGGGAAAATACAGGGAGCAGCAGTGAAGATCTTCATTGACGGAGGAGCAAGCCACAGCTTAGTTAATACCGCAACCGCACGAAAGTTACAGTTAACGCTTAACCGATGTTTACCTGAGATAGATGCACGCTTAGTCGACGGCACGCCCCTGGCCATACGGGAAAAGGTGGAGCGCGTAAAAGTCCGCTGCGGGGGGAACTTCGGGTTTACACAGGAAATGCTCGCGACGACACTGGATGGGCACGACATTTTATTGGGACGTGATTGGCTGCGACGGTACAACCCACGGATCGACTGGACGACGGGGAGCTGCACAGTGCGAAGTAGTGGTAACTGGGTCGTTCTACCTCGCTGGCAGCCACCCAAATCTTCGACGGTCCAGGTCAACGCCATCACGATGAAACGGGCTGTCGCTGCTGGAGCTGACGTGTACGCAGTGGATATCGCACTCGTAGAAAAAGATGAGCAGCCGAGTGATTTGGAGAAACTGTTGGCAACTGTACCGACCGAACTACAGGCATTACTGAAACAGTTCCCGGGGATATTTCCGGATGATTTACCACAAGGACTGCCACCTCAGCGGGCGCACGACCATAGGATCGAGTTAGAACCGGGGGCACAACCAACTGTACAGCGGCAATTTCGACTGACACAGCCCGAGCTCGACGAGTTAAGGAAGCAGTTAGATTACCTGTTAGAGAAGCAGTTTATCCGTCCGAGCTCGTCACCGTTCGCCGCACCGATACTGTTCACACCGAAAAAAGACGGAGGGTTCCGCATGTGCATCGACTACCGAGCGCTTAACAGGGTAACAGTCAAATCGCGATACCCCATCCCCCGCGCCGACGAACTGATCGACCAACTGCGCACAGCACGAGTCTTTTCGAAAATAGATTTACGGGGAGGTTACCATCAGATTCGGGTCGAACCATCGGACTGCGCCAAAACAGCATTTAGGACTAGGTACGGGTCATTCGAGTATACAGTAATGCCATTCGGGCTGAAGAACGCGCCTGCGACATTTCAGATGACCATGAACGAGGCGTTTAGACCACTTTTAGATAAATGCGTGATAGTTTACCTGGACGATATTCTAGTTTACAGCCGGGATAAGCAGCAACACTTAGTGGATCTTGAAGTAGTTTTTAAGGTTTTGGAGGAACATCGGCTACTCACCAAGGGCTCCAAGTGCGAGTTTTTTCGGGACAGACTAGAGTTTTTTTGTCACGTCATTTCGGAGGCTGGGGTTGAGATTGACCCAAAGAAGCTGGATACGGTAAAAGCGTGGCGCCCCCCGACGAACATCACGGAACTGCAGAGTTTTTTTAGGTTTTGTTAATTACGTTCGACGGTTCGTGCCCGACATGGCACGTTTAACAGCCCCATTCACTGATTTACTGCGTAAGGGGGTCGCTTTTACGTGGGGGGAGAAAGAGCATGCTGCCTTCTCTGCCCTGAAAAACGTTCTCTGTTCACCACCCGTTCTACGCATCGCTGATCCCCACCGCCCTTTCGAAGTGGTTACCGACGCAAGCGACATCGCCATCGGAGCTGTACTGTTACAGGACTTCGGCGACGACCTCCAACCCATCGCCTACGAATCACGCAAACTACATCCGCCTGAGCGAAATTACCCGATACACGACCGCGAAATGCTTGCGATCGTGCACGCATTCAAAGTATGGCGCTGCTACTTGACCGGCGCAGACGTGACAGTACGGACAGACCATCGATCTCTACAGTACCTCCGCACACAGCCCCACCTCAACCCACGACAGATTCGATGGCTCGATTTCCTCGAGTCGAATTTTCACTATACGGTCACATACAAAAAAGGAGCCTCGAATATCGCCGACGCACTGACCCGCCCCACTGCCCAGATCCACGCGATACTACTCGCCCAGACCAGCCCGCTACTGACAGGCCTATTTACCCACGGATATCAAACAGACCCGTTCTTTACAGGAGGCAACTCACAGCAATTCGCAGCGGCACAAGGAGTCTATTACGTAAAAGCTGGAACCGACCGCATCTGGGTACCAGGATACACGCTACTGCGGGAACTACTGTTACAGGAAGCACACGACGGAGTTACCTCGGGACATTTCGGGGTAGAAAAAACACGGCAGCAGCTGCAGCGGTACTACTACTGGCCAGAAATGTTGACCGATGTGCAACGACACGTGGCATCGTGCCCCACTTGCCAGCTCATGAAGTCAAGCAGGAAGCGGCCGGCGGGACAATTACAACCCATCCCGCCCCCAGAGCGTGCTTGGCAGCAGGTGACGATGGATTTCGTCACGGGGTTGTCAGAACATATAGCTTACTTGTTTCTGTAGGCTATAGTGGGGTATCCCATAGGGGGTACAACCCAATTAGGGTTTCCTATTTGTACCCACTTCGTTCATAGTCATTTCATTCTCGTTCATATTTTCTCATGGAATCAGAGCAGGTCCCTTCCTAGGGACTGTTCCTAGGGCCCACCGAAGCGCGCCCCGAGGCGCGCGTCTTTTTTTTTAGCGACCCTCCGTGTCGCCCTTACTGCCGTGCTCTCGCTTAGGCCCCTCGTCGGCCCCGCTTAGGCCCCTCGTCGGCCCCGCTTAGGCCCCTCGTCGGCCCCGCTTAGGCCCCTAGTCGGCCCCGCTTAGGCCCTGTCGGCCCCACTTAGGCCTCGTCGGCCCCGCTTAGGCCCCGCTACGGCCCCGCGTCGGCCCCGCTTAGGCCCCGTCGGCCCGCCTAGGCCCCGCTACGGCCCCTCGTTGGCCCCGCCTAGACCCCGTCGGCCCACCGTAAGCCCCGCTCCAGCCCGCCGTCGGCCCCGCTATAG